AAATGCAAGAATAGTGCAGAACCACCAATCACATTTTGCCTTAAAGGTCTGTATGAGTTAATCACTCCAAAATTATGTCATTCACATTAAGAGAAGAGCTGCTAGCTAGAATGTAGGAGTATTTTAAAGTAGCTAATTGGTTTACTTATTGCTAGTTCTGCAATTAATACAAGGTTAATTCTTTCCAAAACTATTAAGCCTGGAGCAGCTGAATGGTTAGGAGGAAACAGGAAGTGATCATTAATATTGATTTTACACATGAGAAACAATCTCAAGAGGGTTTAGCATTTGGAACTATTTCATTAGCTCATTTTATTAGCAGTCTCAAGACAGGTTTGTATTCAGCTAAGTTCAAAATGGCTGATAATTTCAAAATCTACAAACTACAGAACTGTCTGAGACATCTTAGGACTGTAGGCTGCCTACAGCAACACGAAATTCAATGCTAATTAAATAAAAACACTGCCTCGTAGCCAAGGGAAAGATGAACTGAAGCAGGTCAATAATGAGAGGACAGACACATAAAAGTGAGCAGTCTGAGAAGAGCCTGAGGGGACAGACTACAAATCTTCAGACTAAGCATAAGGCAAAAGTTGCTTGTTGCATGTAAGGAAAGAAAAAGGAGACTGCATGTAGGGATAAGGTAATAGTTTGGGTTTCATAACTTGGGACAAAGGCACACGAAACATTGTACGCAGTTGCCTTCCTCACTAGTCGGTTCCCTGAATGCTTATGCCTTCTAAGCTCACTGCTGTTTTTCCAAACTTCTAGAGAATACGGACTCTGAGGACAGACAGTACGACGGCGAGGACCAGGCCTGGCTGAGGCCTTTCACTCGCAGAGGCAGCGCGTTGTTTCCACGCAGGCCATGAGTCCAGGTTCCCAGGGCTACCAAGTCTGCCACTTGCGGGTGTGTGGTGGCCCATTACAAAGCAGCGTTGAACACAAAAATACCAATCCTACTTTTATTGTCTTAATCTTTTTTTTTCTGAAGCCTCGTGCCTGAAAATGAGGTGAACTGTTAAATAAATCACCAGCTCCCAGCACAAGGAGCCAGTGACACAAATAGCAACACGAGGCCATCCTTTTTTGGGTTACTGAAACCCTTCACAGGCCAATCCCTATTTTCTCTAAGTCTTCTCATTCAATACTTGACTCACAGGCTTTTTTGTGGGAGGGTTTTTTGTTCTGAAAGCCACATCCTGCTATTTCACATTCTGATCTTGTGGTTTGTCCTCTTTAGCCATACTGGGTGGTTCAGATTGTACTCTGCACCTCTCCTAAGGACACCCTTTCTCTCATTTGTGTTTCAGTAGAGCCTTAGATCATTCCACAGTTTGACTTCAGGGGAGAACCCTGGAGGCTTTTATGGAAATGCTATCCTTGCCCAAAATAACTAAATCTTGAAAAGAAGAAACATTTAGCTGCTATTTAGTCTACTATTGATCTAGCACAGATTCTGGTACAGGATCTAAATGTTATATACAAAATAAAATGTTGCACATAAAAAATATCTGCAGTAACACCAAAGCTGCATGTAGCTGAAATGAAGCCTTTGATCTTTGCTGTAACCAGCAGACATCCTGGATTCATTTCACATCATCAGTGCTACAAAATTCATTCTCCCCGAAGTCCAGGATGAGTCATAATTAAAAAAAAAAAAAAAAATTTAAATGTTATAGTTAAGGACCTTCTAAAATACCTAATTTTGAAACAGATCACTTTGACTTCACATTATTCCTTTTCAAGCCTCTGTTCCATAGCAGTTTCGCATAACTATTATCAAACACCTTTGCTAACAAACAGATAGCTCGCTTGACACAAGTTCTCTCTACAAGAATAAAAGGAGAAAACAAATAATATCTTTAAAAAATATTTGAAAATATTAACTTGTGCAAACATTTAATTTACATTACAGAATTCTCTGTGAGAATACTTCAACCTAGCACTGCCATTACACGGATTTAGGAGGTTCTCTCTTGGAAAATCAGGAGAAGTTCAATTAATTGAGAAATGAGTGGGACAGAGACCCACACCCAACTTACTCTTATAAGAGAGTTTTTCTGGACAGGATTTCCTCACTAGCATCTGATCTCACTCCTTGCATAATAAAAAAAAAATTAACAACTGAAAATATTACCATACAGTCTGCACTGTTGGGATTTTAGGACTACATGTGGGACTACAACCAGTGTCGTTTTGTTGTCATCTTTTGTTTTCTTACAAAGGAGTTCTGGTTATGAAACACTTTATCCATTTCAAGTTTTTAAAAAAGTAGTTTATAAAAATAAACAATTAAAAACTCAGTCATGTATGCAGAGCTCAAGATCTCTGAAGCATGGCATTGTTATGCGCAGTTCTAGTTTTTATAGATTAACTATTTGCTTAAGAACCAAGAATAGCAACATCATTTGACAGCAAAAATAGCCAAAAAAAATATTATTTTTATGGACAATATGTATTGCAGAACAGCAGCTTCAGATAGACCCTATAATGTGCCAGTAGTGTTAAGGTACAGTAAAAGTTTAAAGTATGTACCAGTTTAAAAAGAAAAAAAAATTGCCTAGCCAAGCAAGCAAGTTTCATGGAATATTGCTGCTATATTTGGAAAAGCAATTAAGAACATGGAAGAGCAGAGGCAGTGTCAGCACAAGTAAGCACACAAGATCAGAAGGGCAAAGCAGTCGGATGGTTGTGCTGTCCACGCGACCCTAGCGCAGGGCTATCGACTGGGCAGAGGCTTTCAGCATTGCTCAGGTCAGAGGGGACCTTTACTGCCACAATAGCTTCTGGGACGTTTTTAGTCACAGAGCTGCTATGGGCTCAAGCCAGGATTGCTTTTGCTGTCACCATCTTCAGCACGCTGGAACATGCACTTCCTGCGCGCACAACTCAAGTAGGCAGGTTTCAGCAGTGCCTGGCAAGCAGTTTTATACATGCACCTCTGAAAAAGTGCGTAGCACTATTGGAAAAAAACCTTCTGCACCTCTTTTTCTGTGCAACTCTTCACAGAAAAGCCACTTCAGAGAACTGCACTAGAGCTCCCACCTCATTAGAGAGAGCACGCCCTGCAGTACCAGAAGATACAGGATGCACCAGCATACCCTGAGACAGCTGCACACTAGTTAATAGCTGCCTCAGATGGTAAAGTTCTGAAAGAAACAGCCATACTTGTTAAATACCTTAATAGTCTCGGGAAGGCTGAAGTGTGGTCTTTTCTCCTTTAACCGTCTCAGGACACTATCCATGGTTTCTTCTACCAAGGGAGCTGGTTCCATGCTTGTGGCCTGCTGTGTCCCGGCCTCTTTAGAGGTCCCAGTGCTTTCGCAATGATCGTTTCTCTGAGGTGCCCTAGAGGTACAG